GGCTGATCAGCTGATGGAAATGGTGATAGGCCGCGACATTCCGGGGATCAGGCTGATTCAGCACCTTTTTTTTACCTCCCATTGCTCCACGACGTTTTACGATGTTTTGTGCAGGCTGTAAGAATACCATACCGTCATGAAGGGTTTGCTTCTACCATTGGTTGAGTTGTCACTTTCAACAGGTACAAACACATGTCCGAACATGACTTCATGTTATGTTACGTAGACGGATTACGCCGGTTAGTAGTAGTAGTGTGTACGTACTACACACACACACACACACACACACACACACACACACACACACACACACACACACACACACACACACACACACACACACACACACACACACACACACACACACACACACACACACACACACACACAGCATCCATCTCCGTCCCTTTTGACTAACTACTGCAGTTGTTAACTTGGTAAAAGGGGGTCTTGCTGTGTGTGCGGGATCCGAACGGCAGATAGGATGAAACCCATTAAACGGAACAAGTCCAGCTTTAATTGGTGCTCTTTGGTAATTGGCCTGTTGGGGCTGATTTGCATTGTTACCAGGGCAACAAGCTTGTTTCCTCTATACCCAAGCTCAGCGGGAGGGAATGAGGGAGGCAGGGAAGACTAGCGGGAGGGAGAGGTGATAGAGGTCAAAGAGTCGATCAGGAGAGGATAGCAGGAGGAAGGGAGAAATAAAAAAGAGATTAGGAAGGAAGTAAGGATCTTAAGAGATAGAAAAGGGCTAGATTCAATGGCAGAGGAAAGCCTGAGATTAATTATCAGAAGAAAGGGAAAGAAAGCAGAATGATGCTTAATATGGAGAAAGGGAGAACATACAGAGAAATTCAATTTCCTTTAACTTAAAGTGGCCCTACTTTGCTAATTTTCAGGTTTCATATTTGTATTTAGTACCTCTCCTGTGACATGTTCACCAGTGTTGTGCTAGTTACTGAAAACCAGTAACTAGTTACCATTACTAGTTACTTCATTTCAAAAGTAACTCAGTTACTTTACTGATTACTTACACCAAAAAGTGTAAAAGTTACTGTGAACAGTAACGCATTAGTTACTTAAAAAAAGGCTCCCATTAATGCCCTTATAGCCTTCATTTCAGTACTGTTATTGCATTGGAGAATAATACAATCTGTTGATCAAGAAATAGCAATATAAATAGTAGAAATAGCCTGCATGTGTTCTACAACATACCGTGCAATGGCTTTATCAACTTTTCCCTGGCTAGCAGTCCCTCGGTTAAAATCCAGCCGCTGTTGCTTAGGTGGAGGTGGAGTGGCGTCGGATGAGTCTGGGTCTGTGGTCTTAGCTACTAGCTTCGTCCCAGCATGTTGTTTCTGCAGATGTTTCAACGGATTTGAATTGCTGTTTTGGGCAGTAGATAGGATCTTTGACCCACCAAGACACAACTTACATTTAACTAAAACGTTCTTTTCTTTGTGCTCGACAAAATTGAAATAGTGAGAATATCTCTGTTGCATATAGAGATGTAGCGATTCATTTCAGACAGTTTGAAACGCGAGGGCCGTGATTGGTACGTGATCTGCCCTCGCTCAAGAGAAAACCTCCAGCTTGACTTGAGACCGCCCCCGTGATAGATAAATGTAATTATAATGAAGCCAGCTGCAATGGATCATTGATCCACCAGGGGGTGCAGTGGGGTTCCACACTGGAGCTCATGTGAAATAAAGTCAGATACAGTACGCTGGATGTACAGCGGAACTTTGTTAAGATCCATATGTCACGGATATCAATACTCTGTGCTAAATAGCAGAGACATGTAATCATATCCACTCTCAAAAACATCCCACGCATGTTGCTATTTAACAAATAATGTGTTTAGTCCGAAAAAAACTAAGCCAGGAGGAAATGGCAGGCCGGCTCTCGATTTTTAATCTAACCTCTAATCATCATCTTGCACCACGATCATTTATGGTTTAATGTCGCCGAATTGACATGAAATCACTGACAGCCATATGAATATACTGTAATTCAACTTCATTAAACGTTATTAAGCGTGCCTAAACTCATAATTCACTAAAAAAAAGATACTTTATATTTTAACTGGAACCTCGTGCGGCAGATCAGGATCCCAAAAGCGTGGCGGAGGGATCTGATCTGCATGACGGGTGCTATTTTTCCCATAAGGAACAAGTCGCTGCCAAATTATCCCCTTATTACATGGCCACATTCTCAACAAAGTAAACGACTATGGACTCCCGCAGTATAATTTGAAATGCTTTTTATGGATTGCAAAAATGTTTTTATTTGACTTTAAAAAATAGTTTGTATGTAGTCCGGATTTCTAAATTGACAATGCACTCGCTAAGAAACAATACTTCGTTTTGTTACCGTGCTTTTTTAAAACAGTCTGAATGAATACGGCGCACGCTTCTAAAG